CTGCGAAGGCGCTGCTTATTGTAAAGTTTTGAATTTAATTGCACCCAGGATTTATTAGCAGCGTTTAACAGGCCATTGCCACAAAGCTCAAGCCAGACCACCTTTTGTGGTCTGTTTAATGCAACTGTTGAACAAAACTTTTTATTTTACAGCCGCGGATCCAGCGATCCTTTGTGGACTCGTTGCTCTGTTGTGGAGTTGAGAATGCTTTTGTTTTAATATGCTCGTATTTTAATTAGTCCATCTCACTGTCGAACTTGCAGATAAAGGCCCTGGCATGAAATTATTGATTGGGTCTTTGAGTCTGACTTCAGATAAAGTGAAGCCTAAATCACAGTAGCATAATTGCAGTAACTATTAATAATTATAATCATTGGATTTGACGTTAGCGCCTTTCACATCAGGAGGACGTCTCAAACCACTTCACAGGACGCACTGTAAAGTGTTCTGATTGTGCCTTTTGATAAAAAGCACAATTTTTTCTGGGGAATTGTTGGCCAAGACACCAGGAGAAACTGCCTTCTCTTTCCGAATAGTGTCACAGGATCATAAACGTCCACCTGAACAGACAGGACTGAACAGTTGGTTTAACGTCTCATTCGAAGGACGAGACCTCTGACAATGCAGTGCATTGGAGCGTCACCCTAGACTGTATGAGTCCAAAGTCCCGATGTGAGACTTTAATCCACAGCCTTCTGACTGAGCCACCCAGGCCGACACGTTGATAACACAGTGCAGGTAGATTGGAAGGGTGACTCCTTGGTAGATTCCTATGTGTCATGGATGTCCTCTGCTTCCTTTGTAGCCTCATTCTGGGGGTGGGGAAGTGGGGGCTGGGGGAATGGAGGTTGGGGGGGTGGTGCGCTACTGTTACTTGCAGAGGCACGAAGCTGTGGCACGGTGATTGTCAGCCTGTGGGTGTGTAACCATGGGAGCAGCTCTTTCGGTCAGCATTACCACAAACTGCAATCAATATGCAAACCGAAGCCTGACCCCCCGCTCGCAAGTATTCAGATGATAATGTCCATTTCCTCCGCCCACCCACCCACCCACCCACTCTTTCCCCTCCTCTCCTCTCTCCACCAACCCCTTCATATTTCAACTCGGATTTAAAAGAAAAGTTAAGGATATGATCTAAAAGTTTACAGTTCCTCACACACACGCACACACACACACACACACATACACACACCCCTCTACCTTCTCCTCACCTCCCCTTTCCTCTCCCCAGCTTTAGGCTAAAAAGCTTCCACATCTGCCTCCCGCTCACTCTCCTGTGCGCACCCACCTATCATTAATGCGACGCTTTGTTTTATGAAGGGAGATTAGAATCTGGGAGGTGGGGGGTGGTGGTGGAGTGGTGGGGGGAGCTCCTCTGTTTGTGCAGGGTTCTCTTTAACAGCCGCAGAAAGGGCAGTTCCAGGTTTCGTACAGTGGCCGTGGGCATTGAGCAACGTGAATCAGAAATGTTTCCCCCGAGATGAAAAGAAGTCGTTCGACATGGGTTAGCCCCCACCCACCGTTTTTCTTGCCTTAGCGTTCCATTGCGTCTTGGGCCGGGGTCCAACTAACCCTTAGCAAATTTCAACGTCCTCCCCTTGACTCTGCGCTTGCTTATTAAATTCCTTACTGCGGCAGAGCTAAGGCTAAATGTTGTTGTGCGCAGTGCACTGCAGCGCCAATGATTATTGAAGCAGGCTCAGGTGCGTTGCCTCGTCTTTAGGTTTTTATCACCGTCGTGCTACAGACAAGGCATTCGTTTATTCATTATTCCTGTATGCGGTGGTGGTCGTGCGTCAACATGGGCTCGCGGGCCATCAAAGAGTTAACGCCTCTGTTTAGTTAACCTTGAGGATCCCTTTTAATGCCTCTGCTTCACATTGCAGATAAAGGTGTACACAACCAGGAGTTCCTATTTTATGAGATGATGTTGCTCTGCCGTTGAGATTTATATGCCGTGCTGTTAACACTTTGCTACTTGTTATTTGACTCTTCACGTTGTAACGAGCTATGCTGCTCTCCAAGAAAAAGTCAGGGGTTTGCGTGGTCTGTTTACCTGCGTAGTTTGATTGTTCTTGACCTGACGGAGAGTGGAGGAGAATATTTTTTGTTTAAAGAGATGAATAATAATAATAATAATAATAATAATAAACCTTGAAGGTTTTAGGTCAAGGCTTTTAGGTCAGGAATGTAGGGATCTTGCATTAAATTTGTACCTGTGCATTCTACTTTGCTCATGGCAGCTTCTGCAGTGACAAGATTTTCGTATTATTACTTTACAGCAAGGCAAAAGGCTCACATCTTGGTTTGGTTTTCATTCGCAATTCGAGCAGTCCTTTTTTTTTAAGGTCTCGCCTCTGTTGTGCCACTGTCTCGAACACTCCTCCCGTGCAATCTCGTCCTCACAAGCTGTGCTTTTATCCTGTTCACAAAGGTGGCCCCTGTCACAACATCCTTGATCAATTTATTTGTGATTTGTACCCGTCTGTCATGTCAGGACTTTGAACTCGTATAGTCCAGGCTGATGCCCCAGGTGCCATGCTGGGGAAGTGCTGCTTTGTCGGAGGTAATATCCTTCGGATGAGGCTTTTCAGGTAAACATTAACAATCCATTGGAGCTATTTGAAAAGGGAGAAGGGAATTTTCCCTGATATCCTGACCAACAAACCACCAGATCAAATTGGTTACTTACTTCATAGCTATTTGTGAAACATTGCTGTGCACGAACTGACTGTTGAGAAAACACACCAAATACAAGGACTTTTATTTTAAATTTAATTGCGGTATCTCTTAAATCTTGCCTTTTATGAATTAGCACAGTATTCAGAAACTCAGCGCACAGAAGAAACTGGAGAACTTATTACAGATGTTGGGAGAAATGTATAACAGCGTATGGCATTCCATTGATTCAAGGTATTGGGTAACACAGTAGCTCTTTATGTTGATGAGATTAATCCTACTGTATTTCTGATGAGGTTAAACTCCGAGAACAGAAACGCCTTGGGAGCGAAACGGCAACCAGTCCTTTTCGCATTTTTACTTGTGGCCCTATGCAGGTGTGTGTTTTCCATTATCATACAGGTTCTCTCAAACAGTACAAATTCCTATCCAACAGACCAGATTACAAATGGCAAGGCGAATCATTCTTCTTCCCCTAAGACCCTCCCCAGCCCCCCCCCCCCGCCCCCCACCACCCCGAAATATTCCAAACAATTTTCAGAAGGGTAACATTGCTTTCAAAGCGACTGAAAGATTAAAGTAGAACTACCTAAGGGATGGCCGTGCGCGCCCCCAAAACAAATGCACGCTGGGTTTGGAGCTGGTATGCGGCTGTATCAATCACGGACACGTCGAACAAGTCTAAAAGCACACAGGGACTGCATATCTTTAATGCAACTGTTGTACTGAATTTTGTGCCAAATTGGCACCAGTATCAATATGTAACCACCAAATTCAAAATCGACATGCTTACACTGCCTCCACTGATATTTACCCAAGGTCTGATAACAGGCTTATGCTCTGCCACCCCTTGTGTAACATGAGAAGACAAGAGTTCTGGAACGCTGGCGGTACGTATGATTTGTGGCAGCTAGCTTGTAACCAAACTGTGTAGATTTGTTAATGAAATGACATTGTGTCAATGACCAAGAAGTTCTCTCCCACCCCCCCACCCACCCACCCACCCACCTAGCCCTGTTCTGAATCCTGCTGCATTTACTCACTGTGTCCAGTCAGTTAAACGACCAGTTCACATTCACTGGAGGCACAGTCCTGGGCTGGCTTATGTAATGTGAGATTAATCTTATTTGTATTAACATTTATATAACACCTTGTACTTAGGGTTACGTCTCAGAGAGCTTCGCAGGGACGGAATGGGATATGAGCACAGGAGAGGGGATGTTTGAGGGAGTGGGAGAGGAAGGTGATCGGAGGCACATTCAACCATGTCTCTCTCCGGCTTTAGCCGTGAGTTCGACGTCCTCTGCACGCAATAATAGTAATAACCCTTGCGTTCGACATATCGCCTTATCACGTCGTTGGGATGCTCTCAAAGCGTTCGACAGAATACGTTGTCGAGCGAATTGACTGGAGGTTCTGTGGGCTGTGAGCGCAAGGTTTATCTGCCAACACGAGTCTGCAAGTGTGATGTGGGACTAACACTGCCCTTTCTTCCTTTGCTCCTCCCTATCATGGAGGGCTTGGCTGCCCATGACATGCTCCACCTAGCAGCCTAACTGAGAATTAGCAAGGCTCAGTCAGGGAAATCGGGACTGAATAGAAGCTGAGGGGTGGCATTCACTCTGCTGATGTCCAACATGTCTGAACGATTAAGCCATCATGCAGATTTTTTTTCTCAAATAACACAGACGTACTTAGCATCCGCTGGTAAAGTACAATGTCGGAACCAACTCGCCAAATATTGCTCAATCCCAAGAAAATAAAGGGTTAACCCGAGCGAACTCCCCCAAAAGAAGATTTGGCTCTCTCACTGTGCATTGCAGTTTAATGTCGCTTTCGAGACGAACAAACCGATGTAGAAACTGAGAAAAAAAAGAACTGTGGTGTCCAGTGCTTTTTTTTTGTTGTTTTTGTTTTTGCAGACAATTGACACTGGCTACGTAAGGATGAGCCTTCAGATTTCTGCATAACAACAGACCACCCAAAGGGCTACGTGGGGCCAAGTACCGTTATATGGCCACTGCCTAGCATATTAATGAGCACATTTATGGAGGAGGGGGGTGCTGGAAACTGACTGCAGCAACAACCAGTGAATAGATTATGCAGCGTGCGTGATTTTGGTTTATTGTTGTAGATCTTTCAATCGTTTACCCCCTTTTTGTATGTATTTTAGCCCGAGAGATCGGATTAGTTAACCGTCATCCAGATCAAAGCTGCGATCTTCCAGAAGCAGATTTTTTTTATTTGATCTGCGTGGGTTTATTTTTTTTTTTGCAGATGTCAGAAAGCGATCCTGATCAAAAAGCATTTTGCCATTACAGATTCCAACGGGCGTCGAGGGAAAAGGGCGGCGGAGGCATGTGAGACGAAACGAAGGCTGTCTTAAGCTCGAGTTGAGAAAGCCAAGTACCGTAAAATGAACATAGCATGCCTGAGTATGTATTGCAATACCCCACAAGTTTTTTTTAAAAGAAAGTACTGAAAGCTTAATAATGTGACTTTTTTGATGCGTGTTAAAGAGACCAAAAAACAAACAGTTCATATTTTAATACAATTCTTATTTATTGCAAACAATAATATACAAAAGGTAAGTTTATTTAGAGACAGATCTTTCCAAAACTCACCTAAAGGCAAAATATCTGATTTGATAGTTTTAAGTTACAGAAATACTTTAACGTTCAACTTTTTATACAGAAAAAAAAGGAGCTTCAGGCACATTTACAGAGTACTTGATTTCTGTAAGGCTGAATTCCTGTTACGCTTTTCGAATAAAACTGTTAACAAATATATATTTTTGAATGCCTGTTGTCTTTTTTAAAAAGCAATCTGTACAACCATGCCACAGCTTTAGAAAATAGAGTGTTTTTTTAAAAAAAGTTTGTAAATGTCAGGTAAAAAAAGTTATTTATTTTTTAAACAAAAATTCCTTTCTCTAGTTAGCAAAAAGGTAGTAGCTGAAGCAATTAGCAAATGCTGTAAACTACATTTGCATTCTGCATTTACTTGTGAGACAAAAATCTTCCAGTCAGTTTTCCGATCAGCTTAATACAGAGTTCATGTTTTTTTTTCTCTGTGCAGAACAGAACTAGGTACAAGATGTAAAACAAAAATTACTTTAATAAGAAAAATGTACAAAGATAAATAACGTTTACAGGCTTTTATTTCAGAAACTACCGTGAGAGAGTCATCCTTATCATCTGAGCACAAAAGCAAAGGTGCTCCCTGTAAATGATGTTAAGCACTGTTCACTGGAATAGTACAGTAAATGCTGTTGGGTTGTAACCATTGACTTGGGAGTTTAAGACTTCCAAAGCTTGAGATGTCGCTTTGTGCTATGCAACCTGCAACATATGTTCTATACTCCAAGGGCCAAAGACACTTCCTGTTTTCCTTCCCCCTCCACTCTCCTCAAGATTCCCACAAATGCGCAACGCAGGAAGCAGAATGTCAGCTGCAGATTCACTGCTTTAATGATTGGGTGGTGTAGTTGTCAGTGAAAGACTGCACAGAAACTCAATCTACCCAAATGGCCACTCTGTACCACGACACGCTGCAAGGCACCATGTGTGTGGGGAAGGGACCTGTTGAAACCATCTACAGTTAATACAAAAAACCCCATCATGTCCCCCCCCCCCCCTTTAAACTGGTACAAACTTGCACTAGACTCTTCCCTACGTTCTGGTACCCATCAATCTGTGCTTTTTTTTATTAATATATAAAAAAAATTTTGACAGGACATTTAAAAAGCGTTAAGGATTTTCGAAACACATCGCTGTAAATAGTGTGAAAAAAAGATACTATTTCTTTACAAAAATAGGGGTTTTATGGCAATAGCGAAGGCAAACTGTTAAGTATTCTACCAAAAGTGGTTTGGCATTTTGATCTTTCAAAATAAGAGCTTTTTATTTCCTCTAAAATATGTATAAATCCCGAAAAATGCAAAATGGCAATGACTCATACACAGTACATACTAAATTCAAAAAAAATTAAAGGTAATTCTCCTCACAGAGGATTTCAATGCTACTAAGTTTATAAGTCCAAACACAGGAAATGACCAAACCAGCTGACTTGACTGCTCAGACTTGTTCATTCAATGACTTTTTGCTTTAAACTTTCAGTCATGGAATGTTTGAACGTTTTTCTTTCTCATTTTAAAACCAAAAGAAAAAAATGATCAGTCACCAGTACTGAAGAACGAAGCAAACAAAGCACTTTGTGGAGGGACGGTCAGGCAGGTGGGTGGCGGAGGGAGGAGGTGAGGGCGTTTGAGAGGAGGGGGGTAGAAAAGGTAAGGGGGAAAGGAGGGGGGAGAGGTGAGGCTGGGGGGGGTGGTGGGGGAAAGAGGAGGTAAGAGATGAGGAAGGGGGGGGAGCCACTTTGTGACAGCAGTTTTGTGTTAGTGCAGGTTGGATCTGCAGGAGCTCTCCTGGTCCTCGGCAAACCGTGTGCGTACTCGAGTCCAAACGAAGAAAAAGACGACGACGACGACAACAACAGTGTGTGGTCAGTCACTAAGGTCTGGTCAGCTGTGTGTAGACGGGCTGGTCCCAGTGCTGAGGGCTGTGGGTTTGCGGGATGGACGGGACGCCGGTGGTATCGGCAATGGGCGTGTACATGGGGCGCTGGGATGGACTCATGTAGGTGAAGGTGGGGTAGAGGCCACTGGTTTGGCCTGGAGCGTGGCTGTAGTAGGAGTTGGTGCTCTGGTGGTCGGAGTAGTCATACTGGGTGCGGGGGATGGAGGGGTAGGACGAGCTGTAGTGCTGCAGGTTGAACGAGCCGTAGCTGATCTGCTGGGGCGAGTGTTGCTGCTCGTTGTAGTGGCTGGGGCTCAACTGCTCCGTCTTGATGTGTGTCCTCTGCTGAGGCCCTTGCTCACTGGCCAGGCTGGTCAAGGAGTGCTGCTTGGACAACCAAGGGTGGGACGCGCCTTGGGTGGCCGATGTGCTGCTAATCCCGTAGCTGCCCGTGTAGGTGGCCGGGCCGCTCTGTCCGTGGCCGGGGTGAGTGACCGGCACTCCCGGGTGACCGTTGGGAGGCAGGTACTGGTCGAACTCGTTGACGTCGAAGGTCTCCATGGTGGACATGACTTCGCTGCTCAGCTCCCCAATGTCCACGTTGCTGAAGTCGATGTGAGGCTGCCTCCCTCCTTCCTGCAGGGGGCGCCCTTCACGCTTCAGGTCAGGCTTGCCAGGTTGGACTTCTGTCTTGGGGGTCGTGGGAGGGGTCGGGGGGCCCTGGGATTGTCCTGAAAGGCCAGAGAAAAAAAAACGAGGCTGTTTTAAAAAAAAAACACTGGGAATTTGCAAGAGTTTGGCAGATTGCAATCTATTGCAAAGGTTTCAGTCACTCACTGTCACTCTCCTGAACTCTTAACCAAAAGCACCTGAACTCTCTCCTACGTGCATTTCCGTCCACTCCAGGTAAAACTTTTTTTTTTAATGGAACAAAATATTACTTCTTATTGATTATTTTTTTTAAAAAATAACTGTTCTTCACGCCAAGAGCAATGCACTCCCGAGAATGCGAGCACTTTAGGAAGAAGTTCAGAGAATACTCTTCAGTTGGCAACGCATCACTTAAGTTTGATCTGGATTGGAATTTCTCCCTCCCTCCCTTTTTTTTTAATTTAATTTGAGTTTCCATTGCTTGTGTGGGATTTTTTCTTCTTCCTTTTTTTAAAAAAGAAATATATTGATTGTAATGTACCAGCTTCCCTCCTGCATTTGTTTTCTCTTCTATCTTATTAGGGTCTTTCCAATAACTTCCTCGTCTAATCTCTGTGTGTGTTTGTGTGTGTGTGTGTGTAACCTTATCTATCCTTCCATCTCTTATCTCTCTCTCTCTCTCTATCTAACTCTCTCCCTTTTTCCAAATGCATCTGTCTCTCTTCCACTCTCTCTCTCTCTTCCACTCTCTCTCTCCCATCCTCTCTCCCACTCTCTCTCTCTCTCTCCCATCCTCTCTCCCACTCTCTCTCTCCCATCCTCTCCCACTCTCTCTCTCTCCCACTCTCTCTCTCTCTCCCATCCTCTCTCCCACTCTCTCTCTCTCTCTCCCACTCTCTCTCTCTCTCTCTCTCCCACTCTCTCTCTCTCTCCCATCCTCTCTCCCACTCTCTCTCTCTCTCTCCCACTCTCTCCCAACTCCCCCCCTCTCTCCCAAATGAAGTCCTCGTAAAGTTAGTTACCTGAATGCTCTCCAGGAGAATGCACGTCGCTCAGACTGGATGCAGAGTGCGGGGAGTCCGCCTGCAGCGCTTTGAAGAGGGCGTTGGGGGTGATGTGTGTCTGGTCCCCTCCCTCGTCGCTCTCTCCCTGCCCGTTCTTCACCGACTTTCGCCTCCTGGGCTGGTACTTGTAGTCGGGATGGTCTTTCTTGTGCTGAACCCTCAGGCGTTCCGCCTCCTCCACGAAAGGACGTTTCTCACCCTCGTTCAGCAGCCTGTAAGGGGTAGAGAGAAAGAAGGAGTGGGGAGGGGTTGGGGAGGGGGGGGGGGGGTTGTTGGTGTTGGAGAGAGAGAGAGAGAGAAAAAACATAATAAGCTTCTGTTGTGTGTGTGACACTCAATGTCTCAATTCAAACAGAGGGGGGAAAGAAAAATCCAAACGCAAACATAGCCTTTAAACGAAATCACAATTGCAAACGCGCAACTGTGAGATACATTGCATTGAATAAGTTGCAATCCACTCCCCCCCCACACACACACAACCCTCCCTCTCTCTGTCTCTCTCTCTCTCTCACCCCCCCCCCATCCCCCTTTCTCTCCCCCCTTCCACACACACACACACACACACCAAAAAAAAAGAAGTTGCATTTTGGAATTGCAATTCAAAAGCAAAGCCCCGATGCGCTCCAGAGGGGTAATTGAAGGTCCCATCAGGAGACAGACAGGACAGACAGGACAGGACAGAACAGCACAGACAGACAGACCGACAGACAGACAGACAAGGCGAGACTAGTCAGACAGGCGAAATGAAGTGCAAAGTGACGAGTGGCCGATCCTTTCTGACATTGCAACGATTTCGATGCAACTCTTTTAAACTGCGCGACAAGACAGGTTCAACAAGTGTCCTTCACTACCCACCCACCCAACTCACTCACTCACTCACTCACCAACGTCAAAGCCGGGGGGCGGGGGGGGTTTGCACTGATCTCTGATAAGAAACTCTTAAAAAAGTTTCTCTCCTCCTCTCCCAGATCCATGCATTTAAAGTCCCAGCTCTCTCTCTCTCTCTTCCCAGCTCTGTATGTGTGTGTCTGTCTCTCTCTCTGATCAAATCCTCAACCCCCCATCTCTCCCCTCCCCACCACCCCCAATCCAACCCAACCCCCCCCCCCCTCCCCCTATATACTCTTCGATGCTCAGATGCATTGCAATGCAAATTCCAATCGTGGAATCAGAAAACAATCCTCTCTTTTGGAGAGAAAAAAACGCATCACATATCGTTGGGACCTTTTTTTTAAACAAAAAACGCATCAGGAGCAAAAGAAAACCAGGATATCTTTGGATTTTTTTAAAAAAAAAAAGTGCACGTTATGTATTATGTATTCTATCCCCTGGAAAACGCAGCCCCCACTGCACTTTGCACTGATTTGATCCGATGGCCACGTTATTATATCAGGCGATATATATTGGCAATGCTGCTTTCCTTGCGGGGTGGGGGGGGGGGACTGTATGTAGTTCAATGCACAAAAGAAAGTAAGTTCTGAACTTTCTCCCCCCCCCCCCCTCCCCACCCTCTCTCTCTCTCCCCCCACCTACACACACACAAACACACACACACACACACAAGAAAGTCGAATGCTCACAACTCCAGCAATCTGTGCATTTGTGAGATTCGAGTCCCAGAAAGTGGGAAGAGGGGGGAAGAGAGGATCAAGTAGGAGAGAAAGAGATAGACAGAGTAGAGAGAGAGAGAGAGAGAGAGTAGGAGAGACAGAGAGTGAGTAGGAGAGACAGAGAGAGAGTAGGAGAGATAGAGAGAGAGTAGGAGAGGCAGAGAGAGAGTAGGAGAGGCAGAGAGTGAGCAGGAGAGGCGCAGAGAGTAGGAGAGGCACAGAGAGTAGAGGCAGAGAGAGAGAGTAGGAGAGACACAGAGCGTGAGAGTAGGAGAGGCAGAGCCTGAGAGTAGGACAGAGACAGAGACAGAGAAGAAAAGAAGAGAGAAGAGAAGAAGAGAGAGAGAGAGAGAAAAAAAAGAGAGAGAGAGAGAGAGATCGCCGGCATCCCCCCGGGGGCCACTCGCCTCCACAGTTTGCCGAGGGTTTTGCTGAGCTCCGCGTTGTGGAGGTGCGGGTACTGGTCCGCGAGTTTCCTGCGCGCCGCCTGAGCCCACACCATGAAGGCGTTCATGGGTCTCTTGACGTGGGGTTTGTTTTTGGACGATCCGTTGACCCGCACCGGCATCGGCACCAGGGTCCAGTCGTAGCCCTTGAGGACCTGGGTCACGGCCTCGCGAATGCAAGCGGGGAACTTGTCGTCGTCCTCCTTCTTGGGGTGGTCCAGGCTCTGGGGGTGCGGGTCGGGCTGCCGGTTCTCCCCGGGTTTGGTGTTCTCCGCGTCGGACCCGGCGCCCGAACCGCACTGGGAATCGTCGGCCGACTCCTCCGACACGGTCGGGCTCGGCACGTCCGACGGCGTCTTGTCGTGTTCCTCTGTCATCTTCAGGAAGGGGTTGAGGAAATTCATGCAAACACCCGAGAGGGAGAGGGAGGGAGGGAGAGAGGGATGGAGGAGAGAGGGATGGAGGAGAGAGAGAGAGAGAGAGCAGAGTGTTGCGCCTCTGGGTGGGGGTGCAGGGGGTTTGGGGGGTTTTGGGGGGTGGGTGGGTGGTGGTAGTGGACGCTTTTGCAATATTAAGGATAATAAAAAAAGTGTTGAGATGACTTGGGTTGGGGTTGGGGTGGGTGGGTGGGGAGGGGGTGGTGGATGGGGATGGGGGGGGGGTTGGGGTGGAGGAAGCAATTGGGTGGAAAGACTGGAGATTTCTTGCAGAGAAGGTTTTTTTTCTTTTTTTAAAAAAAAAGAGAGAGAGAGAGAGAGAGAGGGAGAGAGAGGGAGAGAGAGAGTTTGGGGGAGTCTGGGGCGAGAAGCAAAGTGGGGTCTGTCCTGTCTGTCTGGGAGCAGCTGAGACTCTGAGGCTGACTCCTGAGTATATTGGACTTGTTAAATAAGAGGCGAAAACTTCGCAAGGTTTCTTACTCTCCCCAATCAGAAGGTGCCTTCCCCTGGTTTGAGCAGATGAGATTGGTGGAAAGTTTTAAGGGTGTGTTTTTTTTCTCGCAGGGAGAGAGGAGGAGTTGGGCACAAACGCACACACACACTCACAACACTCAACACTCACACACACACACACACACAGAGAGAGAGAGACAGAGAGTCAAAATTTCTCAGACCCAAGATTGATCCAAAACTCCATCCATCCATCCATCCCCCCCCCACCCCAAACCCAACCCACCACCCTCTCCTCTCCCTCTCCCTCTCCCTCCTCCTCCTCCTCCTCCAAAATAATCCTGATTTGATGTAATTAAGATAGAGCAGACAGATACCGGTGGTTGGTTGCAGTAACAATCTCCAACGTGTGTAGTTTTTTTTATGTATATATATATATATATATGAAAAAAAGAGAAAGCTTTATGTGTCTCCACATGTTTGTTTCATTTGGACCACATGTTTTGTAAACAGGAAATAAGTCGAGTTAGACTTTGGACGCCTGGGGGGGTGTGGGGGGGGGAGAGGGGGGGGGGGGTGGGTGCCTACTACTTTATTTGCAGGTTATCTCACAAAAATGTGTGTGCTTTTGTTTTCCTGTGGGGAGGGGGGAGAGAGAGAGAGAGAAACGACCAGTTCCCCCTTAAATATAAGATATTTTTCAGCCCAAAACTCCTACTAAAGAGATTGCAATGCCCAGTGACACAGTTTCCACTCTACAGTTCTCTCTCTCCCTCTCCCCAACACAACACATAACACACACTCTCTTCCCTGATATATATATATATATATTTTAATAACGCAAATGTAATTCGGGCTCTATTTAATGAATAACATTAAGGAATCTGGCGACGTCCTGACTTGTTAATGACAGTCACGACTCTCTCCCTCCCTCTCTCTCCCAGTCAGTTGCTATTATACCCCCAGACCTCAAGCGATAGTTTGTGGCGGATAATGAAATGGCAAAGGTGCGGTTGCGAGGTTCAAATGTATCGCTATGTGCCCTCTCTGCAATATATCAGACTGGGATTGACTGTGTGTGTGTGTGTGTGTGTATGTGTGACTGGGGGGGGAGAGAGAGAGAGAGAAATACCTATTTGTAGTACTGTTAAAATGACTCAGACAACAATTTAAGAGTGATTGCTTGTCAACCACAGTTTGATGGGAGATTGTTTTGTTTTGGGAGGAGATGGTGGGGTAGATGGTGTGGGTGGGGGGGGGATCAGGATTCACAATGAACTGCAGAGAAAAAAAGTTATGAAAGAGTTCTAATGATGTAATTTCGGGGACGTTTCAAATCACACGATCAGGCGACTTAGAATTGCCAAAGCAGTGATGCTGACAAAGAAATCAAACAGGATTAAATGGTCGAGTGCTACTTTTTTTTTGGATGATGTTGATGATGATGATGGAGGCGATGATTATTATTATACTGAAATAAGTAAGCACTGCCCAGAGGGCAATCAATGGCTTAGATACCCTTATCTGTGGGCTCAGTTGATGTAACGCAAACGATCTCGATGTGGGTGTTTATCAACACGTAGCAGAGTGCCAGGATTGCCTTCGTTAGTTAACATGTCTTGTAGCATCTCTGGATTTGTTCAAGTGCATTGAATTCTTTCTCTCTCTCTCTCTCTCTCTCTCTCTCCCTACACACATTCACTAATCAGATTCCCTCTTTCTCACATTCACGTGAATGCTGTTAAATAGAATTTCTTTCTCTCTTTCTCTCCAGTCAGAGCGAAAAGTCTCTCTCTCACTCTCTCTCTCTCTCACACACACACACACACACACAGCGATCACCAACGATTTGGCTTACAAACTTGTCCTGGTTTTCAGAGGTGAAAACAAAAGAAAATAAAAAGTTTTTTTTTAATAAAAAAAACTAATCTAATCCCAGGTTCTGCGGCTCTGTGTGTGTGTGGGGGGGGGGGAGTGGGTGGGTGGGTGGGGGGGAGAGGACAATGTGAAAGTTATTATAAATTAGTCATCATATCATGTGCAATTGGGACTTTGCACAAGTTGGT